TCTCGAGAACCTGTAGACCTGTTAATACCCTGGGTAGAATGAAATCAAGAGCAATGTAAATGTATATGCCCAGAAGCCAGTTTTTATAGATAAAATAGGTAAAAAGGTACATGAAGCAGTACATAACTTTTTCAGACTGAAGCTTGGGCATACCAGTAGTAGATACCTATAGTGCGCAACAGTTTTCATACTATGGGAGAGTGGACCAGATCAAGGGGATGACAGCCAATTACCACGCGTCATATCAGCCCTCGATACAAGGTCAGCTCTTGTGTCACCAAAACAACTTTGAATCGGTCTCCAGGCGCTGTTGCACAACAACAACAACAACAACAAAAGATGCAGACTACGTCGGGACAATACGTAGAGTGTGCTTCGCGAGCCGACCAGATGTGCATAAATCAACTAGTAAGTGTGGACGGGGCTCAACATATCAAGTGCTATTAAACTACTCGTTACTTCGCAAAAAACTATAAATCATGTAGGTCAGAATTGCTTTATTTAACTTCAATTTAGTCACGTTAAGCCCATTACATTTAGAACAAGTGCATTCCTCCGACCCAGAACATTGAACGGTTCAATGTTCATAGTTGTGTTATCAAATAGATCTAGCCAATAAAATCATTGACAGCACCTGTCAAGATCCTCAACTGCTTTCTCTTCTCGTTGAGTGTAGCATCGACAGGTTCAACACCAAGCGCGCCAAGGATAGCCTCCACCTTCTGCGCTGATGCAAAGTTAGCCACACGCTGAGGTAGGTGCAAACAGGGCTCTTACTGTTGAGTCCGTTCAGCTCAGCCAATGTCATCGGGAAATGGTTAATCGTAGTGTTCGACACTGAGCGAAGAGGCGTTAATTTTTGGACGGGATTATTCACTTGCAAGTTACAAATGCGAGCAAGATTGTTGGATTCGCTATACTATAGTCAGCTTATGTCAAGCGAGCTTGGAGAATGAGTAATTAGGACTATAGCCTACCTAGAAACTACGCGATCCTTTAGCTGATCAAGGCGATCGTTGAGCTCATCTTGTCCAGTCTCGACAGAAGTAAGTCGAGCCTCGACAGAAGTGAGTCGAGCCTCGACAGAAGTGAGTCTAGCCTCGACGGAAGTGAGTCTAGCCTCGACGGAAGTGAGTCTAGCCTCAATACCATCCAATCTAGTATTAATACCCTGGATCTCGCCTCGTATATCCAGCAGAACAGTCAGTATGGCCTGACCCATCCCGTAAGCAGGCATGTTAGGAAATAACGCGAAGTTCTCCGACAACCTCATGAGATCAGCAGACATATGATCGAAATTTGGTTGTGGTAGTACTGCCGCCATTGTTGACTGTGTGTGCTGCGTGTGCTGTGTCGAAATATAAACAATAACCACAGAGATAAGATCAAGGTCAAAAAACGAAATAATGTGAATGAAGATGCAGGAGGTGTGGCCAAAATAAAAAGATAGTTGTTGAGGGTAGATGTGTTGGAGAGCGGGAATGAACATACATAAATAAACAACAGGCTTTTGAAGCAATTGTTGATTGGATATATGGGCCAATTAGACTAGAGCTGAGACATGATCTGGTACAACCCTTGCTGCTGCCTGAAGACTTACATAACCAAGTAGTATGTAGAACGTAAAACCTGAATCATACAGTGAATGGAAGATAGGATATTCTACATATTTGCTTTTGTCGGATATTCTTTGAATACTTGGGTACATATGCGTAGCTGCTCTGAGCCCTACTAAGTACTGCATGCAGCCTTATTTGGTGGTCCCCCTGCAGACCGAAGTGGAGGGAAGCAGCCGAGCAGCCACTTCAATCAAGCGTACATGTAGACCAGCCTATCCACTGTTGCCCCGTCGCCTCGGTAAGTGATCCAACCCGAGCTTACATACATCCTACGCAGATCTGTTCCCCCCTGGTACGCCCAATCGGAAACATATACAGCCCGGTCCTATAGTGCATACTAAAATCCGTTTGATTCTAACGGCTATGTAACCGACTAACTCACGCAAACGTGCACTTGGTGAGTGTAGCCGAAGGCTCGTATCTCCCAGCGGCTAGAGCCCCCCCCCACCCTGCGGGACACCCCCTACCTACGGGACGCCTCAATCAATTGAATCGAAACTGCTATCTATTGCAAAAACGCATTTTTCTCAACAACCAGTAGATTTCTAAACGCTACTCTAAATGCCACTCATTCAACATACTTTCAAAAGTAGCCGCTGAAATTGCTGCTTGTTCTTCTGCAAAACCACCTGCATGAGACTGTTTCCATCTTTTGGCCTGCTCTTCGGCCTCCAACCTAGCCTTTTCGATATTTTTTATATTATAAAAGGTTTGTTAGTAGTCCTTTTTAACTTTTTTACGGCCTGTAGGCTGTAGGCCTTTGTTTTCAGCCTTTAGGCTACTAATCTCCCGCTCTGCTAAAGCTAGTTTTAAAGCTAGAATATTAATAGATTTACCTGCTTTACGTACAAGGTCTTTAGCTATACTCGTAAGCCTTGAAAAAGGTGACTCTAGGCTAGTAAATTAAACCTGTAAGTCTTGCGAGTCTGTTGGAGTTACCTACTTTTATTTACCTTAATTTTTTTATAAGGGCTGTTTAAAGGTAGTAGGTTGATGGCTTACATTGACCATCTTTTCGTTCTCGAGTGGTTTTCTCCTATTAACTGGCCATAGACCCAACTTTCTAAATGCAGCTATAATAATCTCAAGCTGTAAGGTCTTAGCCCTAGCCTTAGAGTAGGCTGCTAAAAATCTACGTTTATAAATAGGTGCAGAAGCTGAAAGGTGAGCAAAAAGTGACATTTTCTTTTGAAAATAACATTTTAAAATAGAAAAAACGCTTACATCAGCCGGCTGGGCTACATGTGATCCGTGTAAAAGTAGGAATATTAGCTTGACTATATTACTCCAGGCTTCGTACATAAATTTGCTGTCTACGTAAGTGGCATAGCTGTTAAAAAACAAAAGCCTTTACTGCTTAGGATCTTTTGGTCTGGTCTCTGGCAGATAAACCTGTTTAAGCTACTAATAAGCTATTTAGTTAGCAGTCTACCCATTTGTAGTAATCTCGTACTTTTAGTAAAGAAAATCTTTTTAAAACCACTGCCTTTAGAGAAAGTTACCCTTAAAGATAACTGCTGGTGTAAGGTAACGGCTATTAGCTAGTATGGTCTTTAGAATAGTTACCCAAGTGCTGGCATTAGAGTGTTAACAAAGGCCACGCTTTGTAAAAAACAAGCCAATTACTTTGCTGTAAAAAGATTTATTTTTTTAAAGTTTATATTTATTTATATTGGCAATAAATTCAGGCAATAGCTTGTGCTTTTGCCGAATAGATTTATAGTGGTTAAAAATGCGTTTAATTTTTTCTGGCAGGTTTATAGCAGCCCTAGCAGCCTCTAGGGCTATTTAAGGCTTTGTTTTTATACTTAGGTAACGTTTAAAAAATCGCTTGATTTAATAGCTTTTAATTTTCTGGCTGCGCTTTTGGGCCTTTAGAATATACTGAGCGAATTGAACAACTTCCCAGCGGTAGGAGCTTTGTTCAGCGCTTTCAGATTGGTGAATCCAGTTCACGATCTTAGCCTCAACTTCAGAACTGAATAACTGCCTGATTTCTTGGGCCTGGTGTTAAAAATTAGAGCCATAAAATCTATTGAAAAGGGTTGACCTAGGGACCCCGAAAGCTTTGGCGCTAGCCCTTAAAGATTGACCGTTTTGAACAGCTGCAATTGCAGAAGCAATATTCTGTTCAATCTCTAGATCCATAGTGATTTTAGGCTTCAAAAAAGGCTTCAAAGTGACTGAATTGATTGAGTGAAGGTTGAGGGGTTGGTTCGTTGACCGCTATTTGGGGTGTCCCGTAGGTAGGGGGTGTCCCGCAGGGTGGGGGGGGGCTCTAGACAAACCCCGACCTAATCCCCTTCCCACTAACACTAAGTCAGCCAGAAGCATCTTCTACACCCGACTTAAGCAAGTTCTCGAGATCTCTTTAACCAAATTACCCCCGTCGATCCGGTACCTTTCTCTCGGCTCCAGCTTTTTCGAACCCTTCACTATGAGTGCAAGCCAAGGCCTATCTGGCCTCTCGCTCTCATCCTATACCAACGACGAAGAAACCTTCACTAAGCTGTTGGTGCCAGTCGAGCAGGCTGAGAAGTCGGGGCAACACCCGCGCAGGTGGGCCAAGGAGCGCATCGCCAACGAAGTCGCCGTCCTCGAGTTCGTGCGCTAAAATACAACTATTCCCGTGCCTCGCGTCTTCAGCTCCGGTGGTATAGACGAAGGCACCTACTACATAATCCTGGAGCGCATCAAAAACGCAGTTCCGCTATTTGATCTGCAGTACGAGTGTGGGCGGGAGGGCCACAAGGCGCCGTGTAAGGAATGTCTGGACATCGCCACAGAAAACGCACGCCCGTACGTTCAGCATGCGCAAAATAGACTCGCGGGATTCAACAGCCCGGCCTCGGGGTTCAACGGCGTCGTGATCCCTCCACACTTTGTGACGCAGACCGATGACCGCGCAACGTGGGGCGTGCAATACGCGCCGCGGAACGAGAAGTTCAGTTTGATGCATGGCGATCTGAGACCCGGTAACGTCATAATTGACTTGACGACACTCGAGTTCAAGGCCATCATTGACTGGGAATGCGCCGGTTTCTACCCGAAGTGGCTTGCTGAGAGCTTCTAGACGGTCGACCAGAAGGAGTACTGTGGTTTCTAGAACAGGTCGGGGACGTACATTCAGGCTCTAGATGGCAAAGGGCTCTAAGGTTATGACCAATTTTACTTGGATGGGGTCTGCATGTACATCTTTAAGGCACTGAATACACATTGAGGCTCTTTGGAATCCATGTGCCGTGGTCGGGATTGTAGAATTATAATTGTACCGTTTCTTCGGCAGGCTTCATTTAAATCAATAATTGTTTTATCATCCTTGTTATGCAAGGGACCTTTGTGCATTAAATATATATATCATTACTTATGATAGCACCTCAAGGGCGTGTGGTGTAATTGGAAACACCCGGACTCTCATTGTCTAGCACCCGGAGTTGCCGGTACGACTCCGGCCATGTCCGATTTCTTTTCTCCCCAGACTTCCTTTTTAAGTTAATATTTTTTCCAACCCTGGTTACGCCGTCGTCGGCTGCTGATTTCAGGCCAGCACGCTTCAATAATGAGCATTAAACAAGAACGAGACTCGGGCTCGGGCTAGCAGATAAAGCAACCCTCGAACGTATCGGCCGTCGCGGGGGTTTTACGGATCGGGGAGGCTTTTGAAAACTAATGGATGCGTTGTTTCCTTCTCTTCCCTCTCCTCTAGATCCAGCAGAGCCATCACATACCCCGCTAGGAGAGGCCAGCGACCCGTTGGACAGTCCGGTCCCAGCAAACCTTGACATCAGCGAAAGCGCCATTGCTTACGGACCTCCAGCGACTCTAGGGAACAGCGACAGCATTGGCTGGCATGAGTACGTTGCATTCCTAAACGCTGTCCGCAATATGTTTCCCGAAGCGCTGTTCCACGATCTTAGGGAACCGCTAGTTTCGACTGGCCAGCAATGCACGGAACCAATCACCGGGAGTGTTCGGATGGCCTTTCCAAGTGTTAGCACTTTTGATTGCTTGCTTTGGATCGACGTGTCGGTCGAGGGGAAGCTTGTAAGCATGGTGTTTCCAGCAGCTGCTTGGGACGAAGCAATAGGCTCCCTCTAGGGTGCGTTGATATCGGATATCGCGGGAGGGTTCGGTATCTAGGTACTCGATGCCGTCGAAATGAGCTAGCTGCGGACTGTGGAGAAAACTATCGTCCCGCAGCAGGGCGAAGAATGCTTGAGAACCGATGGCGTGAGTATGGAAGTGCACGACGACGGACGCGCAACCTTTCGCCTACAGCTCAACCTCGTCCACGGCGTGCGGATCGCGCAGGCACTGTACGGCGGTCAGAGCGGTAGCAGTCTCCCAAGCAGCCTCGCCGCTGCTACCTTGGGCGACATCACGGAACCGCTTTGAGTTCCTTGTATTTACCCCTAACGATATATACCCTAACGTTTGCAGGCAGCTCTATTTGCCCATCGCCGCCCGGCGCTATCCATATTGGCTCGCTAGCGCGAGTTTGGAAATCAATGCTTTCGCAGCTTTTGAAGCATCCATGATAGCTTGCGTTCTTGATCCGAAGCGAAACACGTACTCGATGGGCAATCGTTGAAGATCTCGTCTGCCTCGCCTAGGGGCTTCCATCGATTGCGCTAAAGAGTTTTAGTCAATCTTGGAATTAGCGAGGGGTCCTAGAAAGTCTTTCTCGAAACGCTTCTTCCTTCTTTGGTGGATAGGCAACGTGAGAATGCGGGACGTACCAGAGCAGTGGCCAGTTCGGGGTTGACCGGGGTTGTTGTCTTCGGGCCGCTAGCCGTCATTGTAAAGTCTGGGAAAGGAAGAAAGAGTTAACAGAAGCATCCAGGTCGTCCACCGGCTGCCATGGGCGAGCTCTGCAGGCTTTAAGGTTTAGGTATTGACGGCGGCTAGGGAGCTGCGCAGAAGGGCAGTGTCGTTTCGCTGCCTGGACATCGAAGGTTTCTGGGTCCTCCACAACGAGGCACTTTGCCCCGCTACCTAGGTACAGCCTGATCGGAGATAACTTTTCAGTCAGCCATGCTCACAAGCCACAACTAAACCTCAAAGTTCAAACATGGGGGCTAGTACCTACAGGCTTTTGATTATGGACTGGTGCAATATACGGACTAGTAGGGATCTATACTACGGACTGGTACAAACCTTGGACTAATATAATTTTGTTCATACTGGGTTATGGAAAAGCGAGTCCGACCCAGGACAGAGCTCAGTCTCAGGCTTAAAGCGGCGTAGCTGAGGTTGTATTCCCATTCCGATTCGGGATAGTAAAACCCATCTTGGAGGTAGCAATTGGGCAGTGATGGGACGAGACCGACCAGAAGTCGGTCAAAAAATAAACCACACAGGTGGCGGGTCACCACCCACTAGAGAAAACAGTGCTGTTATAATATCTGTTCAATAACTTGACAGCACTACACTTTGAAAAATAGAAAAAAATACGACAACAATCCTCTTCTTATTTTCTATCCATATACAAGATCTTGTATTTATTGAACTTTATTTGGTTGGATTATAGGCGGTTAAAGTAGTAGAGTTTGGGTGGTAACCCCCATCTGTGTGGTCAATTCTTTGACCAACTTCTGACCGACCTACAGGGTACCTAAGGTGTTAGGTACCTACTACCTAAGCTCCCTATGGCTAAGCCACGGGTAGCTGTACAGCCACAAGGCATTACAGATAAACTAGCTTGATGTGCGGTACCTGAGAGAAAAAATAGTTGCCGAGAATCTTTTTCCTTCACATCTCAACTCTCGCAATTGCAAATACCGCGCATTGTCTGCCGCCATTCCACCATGGCGGACACTGCAACTAGCTTGTCTGATGCGCAGATCGATGATCTTCTAAACCAGGCAGAGGTGAGGTTGTTAGAAAAGCAAAAGGCTCAGCAAACCAAAAGCGTTGCACCTCGGACGTCCAGGAATGAGATAGCCAACACCAGTATCACAACCAATGCCTCCGCTTCCAAACATGCCGCTCCAGCCCCCAGTAATCAACAGGGCCAGCAGCTGTCTGTGCGGGTTCCTGTGGCTCGCAAGTCTAAAAAGGAAATGGTATGTGTTGACATGATCTTCTCATCCCCCTTACCCTCTTGCTTCCTGATGAAATTTTATCCCAATTCAATTGATGCGAGGACCACTCCCGTCATGGGCAATGTCCTTGCGACAGAATGATTTTTATTATCATAGGTAAGCCTGATCCTTCATTGCAGCATTTGGTTCAACAACTAACCTTGCTCAAATAGTTACGCTGATTGGAGCTTCATCATTCTTCGACGTTTGTCCCTTCGTTGATGGCCACCGCCTTACTGACCGCGGACAACCAGACACATAAGGCCGATGCTGGCCCTGAGTGGTTCAATATCCCCGCTACCGATCTAACGCCCGAACTTCGCCGTGATTTACAACTTCTCAAAATGCGAGACGTCTTGGATCCCAAGCGCCATTATAAAAAGGATACCACACGAGCCATTCCCGAGTTTTCTCAAGTAGGAACTATCATACCCGGGCCCACTGATTATTTCAGCGGCCGCGTGACAAAGAAAGACCGGAAGCGAACCCTTCTCGAAGATGTCCTGGCAACTGAGGATGCAACTAAACGATTCAAGAGCAAGTACGGCGACATTCAAGCCGCAAAGACTAGCGGAAAGAAGGGTCATTATAAGAAGATGATGCAAAAGAGATATGGACGCAACTACAAGGGATGAGAGCTCCTCCTGTAGTAACTAATCAGTCCTCGTCGATATACTGAGTATGTCCTAACACCTTAGTCTACGAGTTGAGACTCACGGCTCGCAATGAGCGCCAAAGAGCTACTGGTGGTCGAAAAGATAACTAGAGCACCTTGGTCCGACATTACATGCGGAGCAGACTGGTGGCGTATCAGTCGAAACAGCTCCAATATAGCTGAAATCGGTGAGGGCTTCTAAGCGCCAACAGCCTTAACCAGTGGCATACGACAGCGTCAGCTTGACTGAGACTGCCGATGGCGCCCGGTTAATGGTCGCTACTTTCCTGAAGCCCATTCCCTCAGTGACCCTGCTATAGATGCCACAAGTATCGATAGGCTGGTTTGCTCCATTGTGTAAGAAGTAGGCTGTAAGAGTAGCCTCGCGGCATTGCCTGGTACAGCTCCCGCTTGAAGGGCCTCAGAGTCGCCTTCCAGATCAAATTTGGCAGTGCGTGCTACCACCACTAGCGCAGAGAGAGCAATTGCTTCAAATAACTGCCAATAACGCAGAAGCATAGTAGAGCAATGTTATAACCATTCATCAGAGTCGAGTTAGCTTGACAAAATACATTTTACGTTCTGTTCTCTAGACTCATCTACAAATGAACTGCATGGACATGATGAGTGTCGATGCCTCATGTGGGTGTAAGGTCAATGCGGCCAATACACTAATCAATTGGATTTACGTGACACTACCTACGAGTTGGTACATATCAGTAACAGCGAAAAATTACTTGGGGTATTTAGGTGTTATTGCAACGAGCGAGTGCCATATATGTATAGAAGCGTTGTATACGTATCATGCCGAGTTCGCCAGGATAGGTGATGCCGACCTGATCACCATATCTAGGATTATAGAAGGGCATTGATAACTGTTAATTGCCGTCTCCATTCATTCTATATTGCCCCGGTGAGTTTGCAGGCATAATGAGGCTCTCTCTGAGTTAGTTGAGAGGCGTATTGCCATAACCTTCAGTTAGATTCACAAGAGGTCCACTACCTAGGTCCACATGTCTTATGTCAGTTCCAGCCCCAGCCCCACTTCAGCCACAGTTAACAAGCCTATGCTGCCGTTCCCTGCCGCTGCCTGCGTCCTTGTCGGCATCGTCCAATCAAAACAAGTTGACGAGGCAACACTGGTCAGTGTGCATACGGTAGATGGTTGACCAGACCCAGCTCGCAATACCATGAGGATGATAAGGTAGCCTGTGTAAAGAATGGAGGCCACGAATCCGACAGCGGGTTGGGAGAAGGTCGGCGCCCTTTTTTATCGCAAGACCCAACTGTATACCGCCGTCTTCGACCAGGACCTAGACCTGGACAATTATATCGTTGCCGGAGCTCCATATGGCGGCGCTGTAGGTGAGAGAGCATCTGGTGGCCCCGGTGTCCCTTTTTTTCCTTTTCTGTAGCACGGCCTGTTTGCTCTGTCGGGGCTTTGTTGCAAAACGATGAAATTCCTCGCCGTGATGCTTCAAGCGAATAACCTCACTGACGTCACACAGCAATTTGTCGGGATGAGACTCGCATCGTATCTTATCGGCCCAACCAAGCTGCAAAGCCGAGCATTGACATATACAGTTGCGCAGGCAAGCTGCTCAAGAGCATTGCCTGGGATAAGGGATCCGTAAAGGGGCTTGGGTGGTCTGAGGACGAGAAACTGCTAGTCGTGAGCTACGATGGCACTGTCCGCTGCTACTATGACCTACAAGGCGAGTTC